AATTGGGCATAAAATGTGCTCTGAACGTCATCTAAGTCACAACAATAGAAGAACACAGTCTGCTGAACATAATACTACACAAACATTAGATGTTGCCATGGTTTAATTGCACATAAAATGTAAACATTCACAGTGCAGGGAGGAAAAAGTATGTGAACCGTTGGACTTAATAACTGGTTGACCCTCCTTTGGCAGCAATAACCTCAACCAAACGTTTCCTATAGTTGCAGATCAGACCTGCACAACGATCTGGAGTAATTTTGGACCATTCCTCTTCACAAAACTGTTTCAGTGTAGCAATATTCTTGGGATGTCTGGTGTGAATCGCTCTCTTAAGGTCATGCCACAGCATTTCAATCGGGTTGAGGTCAGGACTCTGACTGGGCCACTCCAGAAGGTGTATTCTGTACTGTTGCAGCCATTGTTTTGTTGAATTACTTGTATGCTTTGGGTCATTGTCCTGTTGCATCACCCATCCTCTGCAGAGCTTCAGTTGGCGGACAGATGGTCGTCCGTTTTTTCCTGCAAAATGTTTGATAAACTCTGGAATTCATTTTCCCATCAATGACAACAATCCGTCCAGGCCCTGAGGCAGCAAAGCAGCCCCAAACCATGATGCTCCCTCCGCCATGTTTTACAGTGGGGATGAGGTTTTGATGTTGGTGTGCTGTGCCTTTTTTTCTCCACACATAGTGTTGTGTGTTCTTCCCAAACAACTCAATCTTGGTTTCATCTGTCCACAGTATATTTTGCCAGTAGTGCTGTGGAACATCCAGGTGCTCTTTTGCAAACTTCAAACGTGCTGCAATATTCTTTTTGGACAGCAATGGCTTCCTCCGTGGTGTCCTCCCATGTACTCCATTCTTGTTTAATGTTTTCCTTATTGTAGATGTGTCAACAAAAATGTTAGCATGTGCCAGAGATTTCTGTAGGTCTTTAGCTGACACTCTGGGATTCTTCTTTACCTCATGCAGCATTCTGCGCTGTGCTCTTGCAGTCATTTTTACAGGACGACCACGCCTAGGGAGAGTAGCAACAGTGCTAAACTTTCTCCCTTTGTAGACCATCTGTCTTACTGTGGACACATGAACATCAAGGCTTTTGGAGATACTTTTGTAACCCTTTCCAGCTTCATGTAAGTCAACAATTCTTGATCATAGGTCTTCTGAGAGCTCTGTTCTGCGAGGCATGGTTCACATCAGACAGTGCTTCTTGAAACCAGTAAACCCAAAACAGGTGTGTGTGTTTTTAAGGGCAGGACAGCTGTCAGCAACACATTCAATATCATCACACTGATTGGAGTCAAGGTTGGCTCACTCCTGGCTCCAATTAGCTCTGGGAGAAGTCATTAAGCTAGGGCCTCACATACTTTTTCCTCCCTGCACTGTGAATGTTTACATGTTACGTGCAATTAAACCATGGCAACATCTGTTTGTGTAGTATTATGTTCAGCAGACTGTGTTCTTCTATTGTTGTGACTTAGATGACGTTCAGAGCACATTTTATGCCCAATTCATGCAAAACTCCACGTAATCCCAAGGGGTTCACATACTTTTTCTTGCAACTGTAAGTAGGCTGCCATAGCTGACCTCTCCTTGTGAAAATGCTGTCTGCTTAACTGTTATACAGGTCCAATGGCTTCAGACACTTACTCAGAACAAGAACATAGCTCATGAGTTCTATCTTTACTGGCTAAATCTATGTTCTAGTTTAGCAAAAATAGGGAAACCAGAGACAGCCAGGCAACTTGCATTTTCCAGAATGAGATCTGCTATGGCAGTCTACATATATTCTATCTTTTTAAGTAGGAGCAAGCAGGCATAACTGCCACCCACTTCTTCTGTCTCTTAGATACTATACCCCGCATTCTTTCTGCACTGAAATTTTTAACTCTACCCACTTGTTGCAGCCATTATAAGTAGTTGCACTCCCACTGTTAGATTGTTCATTTATTTTACAATAAGGAAAGGCAGCTGTGCTAGGGAGAAATGGCAGTTAGCTTGGAAGCGGAGTTGGGAGCTACAATGAGGCTCATTGCTGGACCCTAAGGTGGTAATTCAGCCTTCTGACTTCTAACATTAGGCGGGTTGCACTCTTAATGTAGTTTGTTATGACAATATTGTGAAAACCTATTGTGCCATAAGTTGGTCCTGCTCTCCCGCAAGGCGCTAAAAATGCATAAAATGTCCATGTGTTTCGAAAAACATAACTTGCTAGAACATTTGCTTTATGTCAGATGATAACTTAACACAGAAGAAAACATGAATTTCACAAGAAGCGTTCTTTCTTCCTTTGCATGGCTTCCTTCCATCTTCCTCCTCCCTACATGACTTTCACTTTTTGTTAGACCAAAAGGAATCCAGACAGCAAGTATGTAAATTGATAACATGTATAGGCTGATGCCAGTTGTCTCTTCTACTTTAGTTTCCACTTAATCACATTGAAACGGTCAATGAATGTTTATATGTGGTGAGTTACTTCAGCATGGAAAGGCGATAAATCTCAGCATGGCTCCTGGAACATGGTGGAAAAAAAAAAAAAAAAAAACCTTTCAACATTTATAGCTGCGATTCTGCATTTACCATTGCCAGCCTATGAAAAATCTAAAAAGACATTATGGTGCAGTTGTGATTTTGTAGGGGGGATCTTATGTCCTGGCTAGCTCTGGATAGACTGCTGTAACCTATATTAGCCTGCTTAGTTAGGTTATAGAAGCATCTCCATGTTTGATTTTGGCCTTTGGTGACATTGGTGTTACAGAAAGATCTAGTGTTACTAAAGGATTCAACATGAAGGCGATCAGGGTATGATGATGATGAATTGACCTTGTCATTAACATCCTGTGTGAATTCTGGGGCTTCTGATGGGAAGGTTGCTCATGTTATGTCAGTGTAGAGGGTTCATTTAGAAAGATGAGCTTCCTAATGCTTCTTATGGCCCACTATTTCATTGTACTGCATATTTGTCAGGCTACTTCTGTTCAAGGGTTTACCCATAGCAGTAGCAAACCATGCAACTGCCATGGGCCCAAAAGCACTTGGGGGCCCAGAGCTGTCTGTCCTTTATAGTGATATATATATATATATATAGTTTGGGACAGGGTGGATTTGATTTAAATCATGGTTTTGTACATAAAGACTAATTCTTGCTGGTATAACTTTAATATGCAAGTAGATGAAGATTTTTAGAATAACTTTTCATATTAGTTTTTTTTATCCCCAGTTTTAATAGGTTAATCATTCATATTTGGACAACTTTTCTGTTGTACTTAGGAAGGAGAAAAATAATCATTACCTTAATAATAACAATTTAAATAGATTTATTCAACTGACACAATAACATTCCAGCATATGTTATTTACTTAAACATCCATGTTTGTTAACTAATTTGGCCAAACAAAATATATATATTTTAAGAAACTTAGACTGTCAGCCCCTTCCTCCTCACACTTAGTTTCACTTTCTTCTTGTGCAGATCTATTCCACTCCAAACAATCAGAAAAATATTGTTTCTATTCTATTCACTGAACTTCTTGAAACTTAGCACTGAAGGGGTTGATTCTGTATTCATAGGTTTGTAGAAGTTAGGATGAAGGTCTTTTTCTTAACTCTCTTCATGTTATAACATTTTTGCTGTGAAGAAGAGGCATGTGATCTCCGCTGAGTCAAATTCAGTTTTGAGAACTGCAAAAGTAAACCAATCATCTGTGATAATATCTTGTAGGCAGAGAAACTGCCCAATAATCTTACAAAAACCTCTGGAAGAGCATGACATTGTGAATGGATTCATGGAATTTATTTACCAAAAAAATTAAACATATACAGCCTTATTCTACATAATTAAAAAACGAATCTTTATTTCATGATGGAATAACCTTTGGATGGTAATATATTTTCCTCAAAAAGCATTTTATTCAAAAAAATCCGATTTAAATAAAAAAAATCCGATTTAAATAAAAAAAATTTTTAATTTTTATCCACCCTGGTTTGGGAGCATTTACACAGTTGTGATGAAAGTAGTCTGTTTCCTTTATCACTAGACGGATTGTCTTTAAGATGGAGATTCAAGAGAATCTTTTCTGATGGTGTTGGAAGTGCTTTGCCAAAGAAACCAGTGGGGAATCATTAAACAGCTACTGTTTTGCTACATTGTGGTTTTCTTTTTATTATTTGGTCTGAATCATTAATTGGGCTTTAAATTGGAAGTAAAGTTTTCAGCTTAACTAGAGCTTTTTCTGTAATGTGCAAATATGCACAGCATGTTTGCACATTATGGCACACTTTGTACAGTGCCCTCGCCTTCAGTCCTGCAATGTCTCTGATCTCTTCTGTTGCTGGTGCCTTCCATCTTCTCCCCATCCTCTTTCTAGTTCAGGAATCTTTGGCCCTCTTGAATGGTCAGGCTGGGATTATATACCTGGCATGAATACTGGAGGTTTATTCACCCCAGCACTTCCAACATTTTACAGATGCAGAGATTATACACTGAGCTGTGTGTGCATGGCATGTACAGGATTTCATTTATATTGTTTGGTACACAAAAAAATACATTTGATGGTAAGCCGGTCACATTTGGTTTTTTTTTTTTTTTTTTTTCAGGTTTATTGTTGATATGCACATTCCTCAGTGCACCCTCAGTTACTTATTGGAACATAATGGCCCCAAACTGGATTTTTTGGGGGGGATTTTTACCAAGAACAAACTAAGCACCACGTCATATGCATAAATCATCAGTGTACAATTTGCTAGACAGGTTTGAGGATAATGTTTGCTTTACTTGCATTCATTTGCATGCTCATGTGAGCTCGCTGTTCAAGTCTACCATAATGATCAAAATATTTAAATGGAAGAGTTCAGATTTTGCCATGGAAGATTTGTGTATATCTTTCAGTGTCTCAGTGGCTTGGAATTTGTAAAGGTTTTGTAAACCCTTTTATAACCTTTAGTTTTAAATGGGTAATTTTATGTTAATTTTTTTTATTTTTTTGTGTTGTCTTCCAGTCAAAAGTTTACACACGAACACCAACCCTGTATCTAGATTTTAAAAATAGAAAAAGGAGGAAAACATATGCAGAAGGTGCCTAAAGGTAAGCAATTTATATATTAAAAACCCTTACTATAAACTATTTTTTTTTCCTCATTTTGTCTTTTTTCCTCATCTGACTTTATTCAGTAGTAAGAAATGTTCTGTAATTGAAAGAGTAACTCCCAAATGGTATACTAATGACTTAATGATCTGTAATAGATCAATAAAGCAGACCAGCTCATCAGTGTGTAGGAGAAGACCTAGCTTATCAATCCGTATGAGCATTAAAAGCTCCGTAAAGCTTAGGTTTGGGCCCTGGGATATCCACCCCCCAAACAAACACTGAATCGACTCCCACCCCCTTCTTGTGGTTCCCACTGGCTGTACTTCTATTTTTTTAACATGTAACCTTAAAGGCATAGACACTTGTCTAACTAGGTGTAAGTGACATTTTATTCACTTGTGTTGTTTGTTTGTTTGCTTTACCTTGTAATGTAGTGATTGAAGTTTGTAGTGTCAGAGCTGATTTACCCCCTCTGTCTATGCATTGCCTTAGCTAACCTGTTCCTATGCACCAAAGGGACAAGGAAACGTCCTGCTCTGGGACACACAGTATTCAATGCATACCTTGTCACCCCCTTTGTGTTCGCATCACAAATGTAGAATGCTAAAATGATGAAATGCCTCATCTAAAAATGCAAGTGTGTGTATGTGACTGCTCTACCTACTTGTGTCTGTCATATCTAATTGCAGTGTAACAGTCACCTACAGAACACTAGACTGAGAAAACCAGGGATTGTGGGATGTGTAGCTTCACAGGAAGTGTCAGTTCTCACACTACAGAAAGAGGTCATGGATTAACCTGTGCAGTGCCATGCAGCATGCCTCATGCTTCAACACAAACAGAAACCTTTGGCACAGAAATGTGAAGATTTATGATAGTATACACTATATGGGCAACAAATTATATCACAAAATTACATGATCAGTACTTGTCTTATGCAGGTACAAAACTCAAGGTGCAAGTAGGAATGCAAACCTTAAGCAAGCGAAATGCGTCAAAGGGCGTTACCAGAGTGATGGCTGAGGCCAGCTAAGTTTGACTCCTGGGATCAGTAGGGAATGTTTTTCATGCCTTCAACATCCCAAATCTTCAGGCTAGTAACTTGATACTGCAAGGTCCTCTTCATCTATGCCTCTTCTCCTTGCTGGATGGTTCATACATATGCATTTAGTGGTGCTGACATGAGAACGTCAGTACCAGTTTCTGCACCAGTACTGTGTATATGAAGGGTACTGTGGTGCTGCCCTGTCATAGGGAGGGGCTATAATGCTCTGAATTTACCATAGGGTCCCCAGGCTTTTGGACTAAGTGATGCTGGGCATCATACATCCCAGAAGACTGAGGATATCTTGTGGCGAAAAAGAGGTTCACCTGTGGAAGTTTTAAAACATGCAGCACCCTCTAGTTTACAGTGATGTTCAGTATATTTAAGCTCACTCACTGTAGTCATGTGAGTCTGTGTGATTGTTGTGGGTTCAGCTTTAGGTCAGGCTGAAAGGCTCTGCAGATCAGGCCTCTATCACCTCCCCAGATCAGGCCTCTATCACCTCCCCCTGGTTTTGAAGGTCCATGGAAACCTCTAGAAACTAGTGGGAAAAGGTGCAGAGGCAAGGATCTGAATATTTATGGGAAGTTGACCAATCCTCAGGCAGTAGGCCTGGCACGGTGGTAAAATGGGCCCCATAAATATTGAAGAGCCTGACCAGGGAGTAGTGTGTGGCCCAGTGGAAGATGAAGTGGTGAGGGTCATGAGGCCTGGGAGGGGACCCTGGGGAAGGAGGGGTTCTGCCTCCAGACGAGCTATGGAAGAGAGGGATCTTCACTACCCTACAGTCTTATCCAGGAGATACCCTGTCTAGCATGGGAAGACTAGCACAGCAGAAGGCCTGAACAGTCGTCTTATCCAAAGCAGCAGGATATAAGGGACAGTGTGAGTACCTCTACATCCCCAGGGACTACTAGAAGGGAGAAGGCTGTTCGATGAAATATCCAGCATACTTTTCATTGGGACATTGTCACAACTAACCTAAATCCCTTGCTCTGGAACACTTTACAAGGCAGCCAGGCTGGCTGGTATTTTCTGCAAGTATTAGGAGCTTTATGTCCCCTGAGTGAAATTCTCAAAAATTCCTAAGAGAGGAACTTTGCTGTTGATATTTTAGAGATTGATATTATTCTGGCGGGAGTACATTCTAGGTCTGCATTTTCATGTATATAGAGAAGGAAGTCTGTCCTTAAATTGTTCTGCCAAGTCAAGTTGGGCATCAAACTTTATCCCCAACCAAGTTGTTTCCACTCAATAAAACAACAAAAACAAGCCCATAAAATGGTTACCGACTCCATGAGAAAGTTGGAAAAATGCGTGTTCGCTGGCTGTGCAGATAACGAGGACCCAATCCAGTGGCTCGTTGGGGGATAGAAGTACAAAGGAAAAAAAAAAACTTTACTCCGGAGTTTGATTTTAAAGTTCATGCCCAACTCGACCATATCATGATGTCTGCTTGCACAGATTTTCTCTTAAACAAAAGTGTTCTAGTCTGAAAAGTTGTTCAGTTGAGGGTATTAGTGAGTGTAAGCCATGTCGGAAGAGCCACTTATGGGCAGGCCTGATGCTTGTGAAACCAGTAGCAGTCAGTCAAGGTTTTGCAGCAACTTGATTTCTGGGTTTTTGTTCCAGCAATTCTTGTTTGGGGTTGTAATAGACTTCGCATGGATATTGGATCATCATTCAGTCAAGTCAAAAGAAAGTCTAGATCAGATGGCTACAGGTGTCGACTGGCTCCTAAAGAGTGAGCCTCCCTACTCCCTAAACATGTCTTCTCTTTAGTAAAAGCAGTGTTGGTACCTAAAATACAGTTGGTATCAGTCTTTTGCAGTCTCATACAGCAGAGCTCAGACTAGAGTAGGGAAAAGTCAGTCAGTTGTGCTATGGTGCAGTGTACAAGCTGATAGGAAGAGGGAGCTGAATTATTGCCTGTCAATGTGCACATGTTAATGAAGTCTGAATGATCTCAGAATCAGAGTGCCACTTTTTTGCCATTGTGTAGTCACAGGGTGGGACTGGGAAAGAGACCTATAAATGTGACTTAACTACACCATAGAAAAATCAGGTCTTTTCCTCTGCCAGGTGGGGGCTGTGTGGTGTGGTGTGTTGTGGCAGAGCTGTCCAAAACTAATAACTGCATTGACAGAAACTCAAATCATTTGGCAGATAAAACTGCACCCTTATAAATATTTCATTAGTGTATTTAGTTGCTTGCTTGAGTTTCCACTTTAACTATCACAAAGGTCAGAGTTGGGTTAGGTAAATCTATGGACAGAACAAAACACATATTGAAAGTGCAAATAATTTTATACCAGTAACCAGGCCAATTTAATATATACAGTATGAAAATATTTAGCAAAACCGCATAAAAGAAGTCAGAATATGCTAAGAGCAGTAACCCACAAATATCAGTCAGAAACCTTCTATTAACCACTTTAATACTGGGCACTTTCACTACCTTCCTGCCCTGGCCAATTTTCAGTGCTCTCCCACTTTGAATGACAATTGCGCAGTCATGCAACACTGTAGCCAAATTAAAGTTTTATCATTTTTTTGAGACAGAGCTTTCTTTTAGTGTATTTAATCACCACTGGGGTTTTTATTTTTTGCTAAACAAACAAAAAAAAGACAGAAAATTTTACAAATAAGCAATTTTTTCTTCTTTACTGATGTACGCTGATGAGACTGCACTGATGGACACTGATAGGCTGTAGTGATGAGTCAGCACTGATAGGCAGCACTGATGAGCACTGATAGGCAGCACTGATGGGCAAAGATAAATGGCACTGATGGACACTGATAGGCTGCAGTGATGAGGCAGCACTGATGGGCACTGATGGCACTGATGGACACTAACAAGCTGCACTGATGGGCCTGCACTGATAATCAGAGCACTGATGATCAGTGTCCTGATTATCAGTGTAATGTGCCCTGTCACTGGATCGCCCGTTTTTGGCTCTCCTTTCCTCACACAGTTACAGCGGTGAGGAAAGTAAATGCCGACAACCAGCATTTGTTTACATGTGATCAGCTGTGCATTGCTCCTGTTTCTTTTTGTTGGAGGCTGCCATTTTGCAGAAGCCCAGAGCCCCTCTATTGGCTCTAATTTTCGGCAGAGTGCCAAAAAAAGAGAGCAACTGAGCATGTACAGAGCAGGGTGAAACTGTGTATTACTGGAATTTAAATAGTATAGGCACTTATTGTTAATGTTTTACATAGCTATACCTGCAAAAGGGACCAGCTTGAAGTTATCTAGAAGGACTTAAATTTCTGACTTAAAGCGGAACTTTACCCATTACAACTTGATTAAAAAAAAATGTTCTTTAGCAAGGAACATACATTTCACATTAATAATTATACTACCAAAATTAACGAGTGCTGTACATTTCCTCCAGCATTGTTCCCATTTCTTATTGCTGGAGGGTGCCATTTTGCTAAAGTCCAAAGCCCCTGAACTGAAATAAGAGCCCATTCACACTTGTGTAACGTGTCATGGGACTTTGAGGTCCAAAGTCGCATGACAAGTCACCCTTCCATGTTTCCCAATGGGTACCATTCATATCTGTGCAACTTCAAGTCGCAGCAACTTCAAAGTAGTTCATGCACTACTTTCGTACGACTTTCATGCAACTTGAGTGCCATAGACCGCAAACAAAACCCTCAAAAGTTGTATGAAAGTTGCACCTTGATGTTCTACATGCAACAGTTGTCCATTATCATTAATGAAAGCCAAAGTCATATGCAAGTTTCACCCATCCAAAGTTGCATCAAGGTTACGTTAAAGTTGCATCAAAGTACTCTAAAGTCTTTGGAGTCGTACAAATGTGAATGGAGTCTAAACCATAAAGCGGAACCAAAAAAACAGTCAAATTCCTGGAATTCCGGTTTGCTAGCTGTCATATTTGGTTGTGTTCTCAGCCAAACTGTCAAACCATCGAATGACTGGTGCCAT